CGTTTATGAACAACGCCGGAGAGAAGAAACTTGGAAAGAAAATGCTGTCAATTGCGATCTAATGTTGGTCTTTCATTGCAGCTGCTGATGTTCTCCTATGGAGGAACAAGAAAATATCTGCAAGTGTGCTTGCCGGTGCCACTGTTTTATGGGTTTTCTTTGAGTTGCTCGAATACCATCTAATCACGCTGGTGTGCCATTTGTTGATACTTTCTCTGGCTGTCTTTTACCTGTGGTCCAATGCATCCAACTTTATCAACAAGTAAGGCATTGGGGTGTTCTAGCTTTTTGTTTTTTCGCGTATTTGATCCTTGATGCAATGCCGTATGGTCTTGACTTGACTTCGTTACTTACTCAGGTCGCAACCACAAATCCCAAAAGTTCAAATTCCTGAGAAGACCGTCCTTGAGCTTGCCTCTGCTCTGAGAATTGAACTCAACAAAGGATTTTATGTTTTGCGGAATATTGCATCCGGGAGAGATTTGAAGGCATTCCTTGGTGTAAGTTGATCTTTTCTTTATGGTTATGCTGTACCCTGTATGTGTAGGCTATTACTGGATTATAGACTCACTGCGCGCTCGTCTTATATCAGGTTATAGCCGTCTTGTGGATTCTGTCGGTGGTTGGGAAATGGTTCAACTTTCTGACCTTGTTCTACATAAGTAAGGACAGTTTCTTTTCAGTTTCAATTTTGTTTGTGCCTTTCTGAATTCAGACTCGGGAAACTTTCATTTCTGTCATTGACATCATCCCGAATTTTGAATTGCAGTTTTTGTGTTGCTGCACACGCTGCCCGTGATTTATGAGAAATACGATGACCAGATTGATGCCTTTGGCGAGAAGGCGTGGATCGAAATAAAGAAGCAGTACGCAGTGTTTGATGCCAAGGTTTTGAGTAAAATCCCCAAGGGTCCAGTGAAGGAGAAGAAGAAGGATTAGACGCATCATTCCGACGTTAAGCGTTTACTAGGCTTCGCATTTAGTCACCGTTTTTAGTCGAATCGCTTAATTCCATTAGATCACTGTCTTACTGCGTTATGTTTTAGTGCAGTCCGGTTGCACGCAGATTACTGAATGTATGCATTTTAGATGGATGCCTGGAATTTTCGCTGTTAGTAGTATCTGAAAGTTTTTAGAGAGTTTTAACAAAACATTTTCGGTACGGTTCATTTTTAACGAAAAATCACATTTTTACCTTTAATTGTCACTATTCACTATATCTTTAAAAATAGATTTTCATTAAAAGGGAAGTTTTTTTTAACTTTTCGTTAATTTTCTACGTTACATTCGAAGTCTACTATTGCCACCTAGGCAATATTACGTTGATGTTCGAATTGATTCTTGTTGATGAAGTAATCGACCAAACTAATGAATATAATTTTATGTTTGGCTTGGCACCTAGGCAATATTACGTCGATGTTCGAATTGTTTCTTGTGGATGAAGTAATCGACCAAACTAATGAATATAATTTTATGTTTGACTTATTTTTAGTTACATCGTTCTCTATGACTCAACTTTAATTTCATTTTGCCCCATCAAACTCGATTTTAATTTTATCTTGTTTTTAAGACTCAAAAGTCTTTAATTTTATCTTGTTTTTAAGACTCAAAAGTCATCATTTTACTTCGTAAAACTTAAAATTCGCTTCACATTGTCATAATTCTATTAATTCCGTTATGTGCGTTTGATTTGGGTGCACCAGACTAGTTCTTAATTTCTTTTTTTAAACTTAATATTTTCTTATTGTTGAATGTTAATGCATAGTTGAGATTTATAATCAAATTCATTGACACATGTGAGTCGCACATATGTTCCAGGGACAATTTTTGAGTTTCAGGGAGAAAAGAGCCCACAAGTCAAAAATGGACAAATTTTAAAGAGTAAAATGGTGACTTTTGAGTTACAGGGCAGAGTGAAATCCAAATCGAGTTCCATAGAGCGTTTCTAAAAATAAAAATGATACTGATTCGTATAAACTATCTAAACTCGAAATAAAGATACTAAGTCGTATAAGTTGTTTACTAAACACATACCTAATTTTGTATGACAAAAGAAGTTCAGTTATCGTATAAGTTGATTACTAAACACATGCGATAGGTAAGTTTTTATCGTATCCACATCCCCCCTAATCAAGCATCACTACACACTGGTATTCAGGTTTAAATGAAAGGTTTCACTGACTCTTGCTAAGGGGTCTTCTGTAGGCCCATAACCTGGAAAATGGCCCTTCATCTGAATCGCTATCACTGTCTGAAGAAGATATCATTGATATAGAATCATCCAACAGATATCCAACCACCTGAAAAAGATGGAGATACGGGATCGATGTAAGCTCACCGGAAATGGAACGATGGTGTTCTCGTTGCTAGGTAACTAGTATTGACTACCATTACCGCCAGTATTCATTGAATCCCTACTCGTATTCAAATAGCTAAAACCGAAAAACTAGAGCAACGAGCACGTGAATACCTGATTAGGTAACACGGGCTTAATTTGATGGTTTTCCGAATTTTGTCCCCTATGTTCATTTGAACATTTCATGTTGTCAAGCCAAACAATCGTGTTGCAGTCTCTACAGTATCCCCTACCGGATTTCAATTTCTTCGACGAGCTGCCTGAAATCCAAGCAGATTAGGCAATGGTAAGAATTCATAACTTCACACCTGCAATCCAACAGGAAGCAGAACAAATACACACACACACACACACGCATGTGTGAGCGTAATTGAAACACTAGTCTCTAGGGAAGCATGAAAATACCTAAATATGCCCTTTTGAAGGCTTCTTTCCAAAATAGTGTGTACCCTTCTTCATCTTCAACCCGTCGACCACTAAGTTTCCGAGCCTTAATCAGCTTATCATCCTCAGACTTCCCGAAGAAAGTAGCGTATTGTGTCTCCCATAGATGGTTATCACTTGCCGCTATGTTCCACGACCTTCATCAAAACAATCAAGAAGCATTAGACCCAATTGGTGATTAAAAATGCAGTTTAAATCAAGGAAACTGAATACATGAACTTAAGTGAAGGAAATTGGGATTACCAGCAGACTAGTCCAACAGAGGCCAAGGATTGCATATCGAGGAACCCAAATATGTGAACAAGAACATCTTGTGGCAGCTGGGTCGAACCCGAAACTACAGGGAGAGGAGGCGAAACACTTAACAAGGACTACATTCTTCGATTTACATATCAAAGCAAGCAATTTCATGATCTCCAACCGACAAACTTCGAAAAACATCGAAAAATATTAAGATATGAGCAAACACAAAGTAAAATCTCGATACCCTTTTCTTCTTGCCGTGCTTTAGTGCGCCTCTTATGAGCAACCATTGCGTTCTTGTATTCTGCGACAGCCAGATTCTTCTTTTGCTTCGGCAACGCGGCCTCGGCACTCTGGAGGAGGAGATGGGCTGCCAAAACAGCATTGCGCGTCTGCATTCTAGCTTCCCAGAAAAGCAAACAACTTAACACAATGCAACCAGAAAGCGAAAACACGAAATAAATTCTAAGATTAACAAAATTTCAGCTCAATCCAAATTACCCTCATCAACAATTTGCATTAGAACAGAAAAACAACAAACAAAATCTCAAACTTTCAGCCCGAATTGTTATGAAGTTTCAATTTTGAATACACTTATCTCAGAATTCGAAAAACAGAGACAACCCAGATGCCAAAATCCTCTATCTTTCACAAATATCACAAGAAGAACAAACAGAAGTTACGAATTTTGAGAAATGATAAGGAAAATAGCTTACTCGGGAAGGAGACGAAAGGCCGTGAGAGTGTCTTGGAAGATGAGAGATTGGAGATTCTTGGGGAATTTCTTGTAAGCGCCTCTGAGGATTAAGCTGAGCTCTCTGCAGGCAAAAGGGTACCTGTGGATTTTGGGCAATGATTCTTTGAGGACAAGTTTTTGGTATCTCTCCAGTGGCTTTGACATGCTTCTCCCTCTGAAATTCAATGGCGAATAAAGGAGGAAGGAATAGAGAAGAGGGGAAAGAGTTCCCTTCAGATATTAGTATATTACAATAACTCTGATGGGCTAGTTTTGTCAACCAATAATATGATGGGCTCTACTTATTTGATTGGGCTACCTAAGAAGGACCAACAAGTTTCCATACAACTTTCATTTAAATTTCTTGTGATTGTTGGGAGAGCAACTCGTATGATGCACATCACTATAGTAGCGTTATATAGCAATGATACAATAAACTCGTAGAGAGTTAATCTGTCGTTGTATTGACAAAAAGAATATACATGTCTTTATATTATTAGCACGAAATGCTACTGTAACAGTGTTCTCGTGTTATACAAGTCATTCTCGACAAAGAAGAGGACTTTCCAAAACACTACAAACTCATAAGACTCGGAAAACCTGCATTTTCATCACTCTTGTTAAGAAATATCAAGCACCAAACGCACGTGCTGATTCATCTACTACCAAAGATGAAGATGACCCACCACGTGAAACTCCTTGTGGTCCCGTTTCGTTCAAGATCAAGTATCGATGGCCCTTGAAGAAACTTCAAGCCCGATTTAAGATCAAGTGTTCATTGCCTTTGAATTTAATTCTACTTTGGGGATCGAATTAGAGGAATATTCTTCTAAAAGGATAAACCACATAGATTGTAACCCTAAACATTCATCTAATACAAATATTATTTGCACATGTGTGTTTCTGTTATTCATTGCAGAAAATTTCATGTTTACACTTACATAGATGAAGATAATGTAACTTGGATACTAAAGTAATGATGTCCTAAACTAATCACACAATGCGAAGTAAGAAAGTTAAAAACATGAAGAGGTTCTCACCTTGGCATTCATGTTTTTGTTCTTAATTTTTATATTTAAATTATGGATGGAACTGTCAGACGCTGATGCTACTTTCGTTTTTAATAAAACATCCAATTTGGTTATAGACTTGCAATTTTGCAGAATGATAATTTCATTTCATATATATATATATATATAATGAAAAAAAAAAAGCAGACTCTACATGCATAAAGAGCATTGCACCATCAAATAATTACACAATTTAAGAACAATGTGCACAAATGCTGTTCGAATTCAGTTCAAGTTTCCTCTCACCAATCTGAAAATCCCACAAGCATCTCCAAACACCACACACATTTTTCACAGAACATAGACTCAAAAATCCCAAATAACTGTGGCTATTGGACACCGTTAACCCACCCTCTCTTACACTTTGTACACTGATATACACGTTCCTTGTGCTGCAAGCTTTTTCCTTCGCCGGAGGTTCCGAGCTGTAGCTGCTTCTAATTGATCGTCGCGTTGTTGCAAGCCGACGAACATTGTTGCCTTTTCAGGTGGAGTTTCCATCTTCCTCGAGACCTTCACATTCTTCCCCAAAGAATGAAGCTGATGCTAGTGCCTAAGATGCCGGCTTCCCCGTGTGTACTAATAGTTTACAGGAAATAAGTTAGCTGTTGCTTCTTCCTCGACCCACCCTCGCCATACAGTTCATTCCACTGTTTCAGCTCGCTCATTACTGATCCCTCTGAAGCGAAACTCGCAGCAACCTGCATCGCACCACAGACATGCATAAAGATACATGCAGAACAAACGAAAAATGATAGTTTTGTGGATAGTGTACGAAAAGAAGGTGAAATTTGTTACCTGATTCTTTGCCTGCCGCATATCTTCCATGTTTAAAGCCCTCAGGGTAATTACGTGCTCCTCTTTCTCTTCTTCTTTCGGTTCTGAAGCTTCTTCTGTGCCCTTTTCTTTTGCATCTTTCTTCTTCTTTTCCTGTAGTTCCAAGTTTTATCAAAATCGTTAAGCATTACCAGAATTGGGAAGAAAAACAATAAGAATATGCCGATGCAGAGGAAGAGTGTGAAGGTAGCGAATTACCACATCCTTTTGCCTCTCCTGTTGTATAAGCTCCCTAACTGGTCGATAAGCTGCTGTCACGCACAAGTTCTGTTTTTCCAGGATTTAGTTTCGTGAGTTCGTTAGACTGGTCACAATTTAAGGTTGGTTATTAATATTGTTAACTCGAAAACTAACCTTAAGATCGCTTCCACTGTATCCTTCTGTCATGGTTGCAAGCTCCTTAAAGTCTAGATTTTCGACCTTTTCTTTCGAAAGAAGAGTTCTCAAGATCATTTCCCTGTTCTCGACTGAGGGAAGGCCAACCATGACTCTGTTCAATAGGGAAAAAGATTTCGAATTAGCAGACAGTTAAAAAGAAGGAAGAAAAAATCTGAATGTAACACAATGTGGATCATTACCTCCGCTCAAATCGCCTGATGATTGCCTCATCAAGGTCAAATGGCCTGTTGGTTGCGGCGAGAACAAGAATTCTCTCCCCGGTCTTTGTCAAAAGTCCATCCCAGTGTGTCATGAACTCGTTCTTAATCTTCCTCATGGCCTCATGCTCCCCAACTCTGGTTCGCTGCCCCAGCATGCTGTCAACCTCATCCACGAAGATAATAGTCGGGGAGACCTTTGCTGCAAGTGTGAACAGAGCTCGAACGTTCTTCTCATCTTCTCCAAACCATTTTGAGGTGATCGTGGACATCGAGACGTTGATGAAACTTGCTCCTGCTTCACTTGCTATGGCCTTTGCCAGCATTGTTTTTCCAGTGCCAGGAGGACCGAAAAGCAATATGCCTCTGCAAGGCTTCAGAAGCCCACCTTTGAAAAGGTCTGGTCTTCGAAGCGGGAGCATGACCAACTCCTGAAGTGATTCTTTGATCTCATCCAATGCACCAATATCTGCAAATGTGACTCCAATCTCATTTGCAGGGATAACCTCCGGCCTTATGCGCTTCTCAAATTCATTGTCAGGTACCACTTCCTGCACAAACACCGTGAATTTTTTATAAGACAACGAAGATCTAAACAAAATAGACACTGTGAAACATGTGGATTTTATGGATAGTATTATAGGACTTGAACTTACTACTTTTGGAGGAGGTGGATTCTCGCTGTCCTTCTTCACCCCAGGACCAGATTTCTCGGCTTCACCTTTGTTTTCCGGTGCTGCAGTTTCAGACTTCGATTCAGTCTTTGCACCGACGGCCTCTTCCCCTTCGGTTTCCTAAAATTTAAGAGAAATGATAAACCATTAAGTCATCAGAAGTTAAAAGCAGGTCCATTTAATCCGCGACTCAAAACGTAAAACATCAAGAGGTTAGAAATGACAGTAGAAGAAAAACCTTGTTGGAATCGGCATTGGTCTCCAGTTTCAGAGAATCTTTCCCGCCAGATTTTCCCTCCTGGAATATACTCAATCCATGGGACAAACTGTTCCAGATTGAGAGTCGTAATTAGATAGATAAAATCATAAAACAGTCTGTTTTGCAGTGAAATATAACCAAAGAAATTATGATACTGAGAATTTGGTATCTACCTCGTCGATGATATAACAAGCTTTCCATTTCGATATTCTGGATCCTTGTTTTGCATCAAATGATAAGATATTGCCGAAATCACAATCTCTTCTATGTAGTTGCTGACTACCATTGTGTCTGCGTGGCAGATTGAACCAAGATCATCACATTCAAGATCATTCGCCGCAAGCACCTCGGCTATGTGATTTTTGTTGTCATGAAATTGGATCATCTTCATGTCTTCTTCCAGTTGAGCCTTCCAGCTGACGAGATGAGTCTCATCTTCCGGGGGACTGATCTCAATATTGTAGGGGAACAAAGCAGCAAGCTTCTCGTCGACTTCTTTGCAATCATCTTCAGCGTCTACTGTCCGGGAACCAAGTATCAACACTGACCCTGAAAGTCTCTTCAACATTTTGTTGAACAAATTGTAAAACCGCCGTGATTGGAGAAAAAGCTTCTCGACGTCCCTGAGGCATAAGATGATGGAACGAGTTTCTGACATTGAAGATAAGACCTGTACAAGAAATAATATGAATGCCTATTAGTACTTTACTAACATTTTCAAGCAATATTACCTTGTATCTAACAAAAAGAAAAGACATTACCTTGTAAAGTGAGTGCAGAAAAAGTTTCTCATCGAAACACCAGTTGTTCACGCGTTTGAGAGGAACTGAAAAAACGAAAGAATTACAGAGTGATAGTATAAATTTAAAGCAATTCTGCGCATAACTAATGTACAAATTACGTTCTTAAACAGCCAGTATTTTTCTGTAGGAACAAACCTGAACTTGGCGAAGCAGATTTGGAACTGATGCTACTCATATCAGATGCAGAAGAACCATTTCTTTGAAGCGTTCGAGTTGGCCCTTCAGTGCCCCTGCGGGTATAAGATAGCGGTGTTTTAGAAACGACACATTTCATAAACACCGGCACATTTGATACAAGAATCAATCACCCAATACTGTACCTTGATTTGAGATCAGAAGAACTACTTTGCCGACATAATGCACCTGTAAGAAAACAATTAGTTATAAGACCAGTGAAGCGTTGACATTACCAATAGTCACTGAACTGAGGACATGTTGATCAGAGGAGCTTTAACGAAAAGATATAGCCATATTTCCTTTCGTACCTTTAGTGTCCCTGCTTGAAGGGAGCATTGAGAAGGAGCCGAGCAAATTGGACATTTGCTCCAATGTCACCTCTGAGATGGACCTTTTATGATGCTACAAAAAGAATGCAATGAATCAGAAACGAAACAAAAAAAATCCAATCGAGGTAATTCGAGCTTTTCCTTTCAATAAAACTGCAGTACATTGACTAAGATACATGAAGTGCAGAAATGCATAACATTGAGTTTAAACAAAAAAGCATCCCACCACATTTGGATCCAGGTTTCATCACTTGCTAAACTTAAGATGTACGCTAAGACTCCGGAAAAGAAAAAACACGATGAGTTCCTCAGTAAGAAGCAGAGAACGCTTACTGTTTCTCTTTTGGCACATCCGTATTTACTCTGTATCTGCAAACATGTAGAATTCAGATTTTTTAGTACTACCGTATTACGAGCCAAATCTAACTTATGTAAACATGTAAAGGTGACTGATATAGTACTGCTGTATTACAAATATTTACCCTGATCGAAAAATCAGTGATATCCAACAACAGCAACTTCGACTCAAAGTGATGCGCTAAAGCCTTGGCGAGCATTTGATGATAAAGTTCTTTGGGAAAAAAGAGATGAATTGGATTAGCTTAAGGAAAAGGTTAAGGTATGAATATTTCAGCGGAAAATGCAAAAATCGGATAACGTTTTTAAGTAGCATACCTGCAGGTCCTGAGAGCAAAATAGCTCTACTTGCAGGGGAAAGATTCCGGGTGTGCTTGGACAAGTCGGAGTGCTTCAGATGAACATATGCAGCGCTTGTTAACAACATCCGAGTTCTCTCTCTGACATCGCCATCATCAAAACCAAAATTGTTAGATATGATCCAAAAATAAAACAGTTTAAAAACGAATCAAATATCAAATAAAAAAGGCTCAACATCCATACAAGCAAAGATTGGATTCAATAGCAATTTTGCAGAAGTACAATATCCATAGCTGAGGAAACTGATCATAAAAAATAAAATAAAATAAAAAAATCCAGAAAAATTAGGATAGCCTTTATATTAAAAGCAGATATAATCCAACTTAATTAGTTTCAACTGGAAGCAGATTTTATGCGTACAAAATTTTACCGAGAAGGAAGATAAAAAATGAAAACTTGTGCAGAATTCATGGATTGTATTATTACAAAATTAGTAAGAAAATATGAACTTTAATAACATACAAGGAAAATTAGACATAAAAACACACCCATCTTCCATATGACCCTGCTCATAAGATTGATGTAAAAATTGTGGCACTGGAGTTATAAAATCTCCAAATTTACCTTAGGTAATAAGGAAACTCCTCAAATGTAACTTTGCTGTCTCTGCCATCCACAACCTGCCTCATCAACTCCTGCTCAATCTGCTCCGCCGTCACCTCATCCGCCGAGCAATTACCATTTACCCAACTGCTCACAGCCTGCCCGGAAGTCAACCCCAGCCCCACCCCAACCCCAACCCCAACACTCAGAGCAGACAGCAGAATGTGCTTCTGTTCCATCCTTCACCAACCCTTTTGAACAAACGCCTCCTCCTTCACGGCAGAGAACGAAGGTGGCGCTTTTTCACCGGACTTTCCGGCTAGATACAGAGCAAACGAGATTGATATTCAACGAATGGGGAAGAGATTCATGAAGGGTTGGTGGGATTTCTTTTTGGACAAGCAAGGAAACTTGGAGAGAGAGATAGAGATTGAGAGAGAGAGAGAGAGATTTGTTGTGTGTTTCTTGGGGTGCGTATGTATTTGTTACACAACACACGTTCGAATACAACGTTTTTGCTGTGAATTACTTATGTGCTTGGGGTTCTGTTCTGCAGCTATTTATAGCATGCCTATTACAAATGGACGTTCAATGCTCGTCCAAGAAAAGAAAAACCAGATGAAAACGATGGAATTTACCGTTTGGTTCTTTTTTCACCTCTGGTACTACTGGCTGTTTTTTTTTTGACTGGTCACCTCCAATTCTTTCTGGTGCCTTTTCCCCCCTTTCCTTTCTTTTCTTTTACTTTTCAATTTTGCTTTTTCCCCTCTCCTTTTAAAAGTAATTATTTTTCTCTTTTGCTCAATTTTTATACTAATATTTATTCTTAGGAATTTTCATGTACGAGCCCTTGATGACATTATACCAGAGAAAAATATTTCGAACCCAATAGTTTAGTAGAAGAGCTCCATTGACTTTGTAATTGGAGAAGGCATCGAAGGGTTTTGCAATCTGAGAATCAATTCGAGCATGACAAGTAGATAGATAAAAGAAAATTATTCTTTAAAAATTTATAGTTATGGGAGATTTATTTCGTTCTAATTTACTTTATTGTTTATAAAACTTAATATTTTATCAAGAACAAGATATTGTTTAGAATCAATTTAATTCTTTGTTTTGTAGTCGGGGAGAAAATTTTATATGTATTGGAAGCACTTGTCACGTGGTATTGTTGGAGAATTTTATCCCATATCGGTCATATGACAAAATAAAATACAATTAATATATATGGGAATTTTCAGCTTTAATATCATCAAGGTATTTTGTAATAAAACTCAATACCTAATAATAAGTGATTAAGTTAAAATAACATGGGTGATGTTAGTGGTAGACTATGCTGAGGTTGCAAAGTTTTCACGTCGACTGTTTGGAGTACACCGAAAAAATCTCTCGCGGATGAGTGGGATGATGAGAATGCATCCATATTTTTACAGACAAAAACAAAACAGAAAATTTAGGGATATTTTAAGTTGTGTCAGCAGGTAGCATGCATGGGACTTGCAATTGCATCTTGCAACTGTGTAGCTGAGTTGTGATTTGGTTGGGTTCAACAACCTTTTCATTTTTAATTTTTTTTTCTGGCTTAAACAAAAACACAAAACTATGTTCTACTATTTTCTTATTTTTGGTACATGCTCAATTATTTTCTTGGGCATATACAACTGTACCTACCTTGGTGTGGCCTCAAGTTCTCAATGATATAGTTGTTAATCGACACGTTTGGTTGTACATTAATGTCCATTAATAATTTCAATCAAATTTAGTAATTTGACGTACTCTTGTTCAACTGCCAAATATTAATTTTTTGAAATATTTGTTGAGATCTTGTAGTAAATGTACTTCTTTTTTTATTATATATATATATATATATGTATATAACGCCTATAATTTATGGTTTTATTTTTTCCATTTTGGTTACTTAATTAGCATATCCAGTTCGTCGTTAAATCAACAAATGATTTGGTTTGAAGAACCACTTAATACAAATCCTATTTTTAAGAATAGTACAACTTTGTAATTTATTGGTGCGGAATGCTCTTTTTTTCTTCAACGGGTTGAAATCATCAACAAGATTTGTATCAATGCCCATTCTAAATGCACTCTATCATCCAATTTGTACGTATTCGTCTCTTTGTATAAACTAATATCGTACTTGTTAAAAAAAAAAAAAGCATATCCAGTTCGTAAATCATTGACTTGCTACCATCTTAATGTGTTTGATCGAATAACTATATACATTATCTCTGTTATTTGTATATAGTATGCAGTTCAATAATTCTCCATTTGTGCTGACAATTTTTCGTGATAAATGTGGGGGATTGGTATGTGATGGTAATGACAGATTTATTTGAGGATTAAATTGATATTTTCTTTCTTTCTTTTTAATGAAATTTACTTAAAACTCTTGATTTTTTTTTAAACAAATGACATTAATTATCTACATTAAGGGGTGGAGGAGTGGGCTAAGCATCACAATGTGCTAGCCATAATAATGTGGTTCAAATTCACTTTTGTCAATAATCGAACATGAGACCTCTCACTTACAAGTGAAGAGGAATTTCACTAGATCGTAGTACTAAGTGGCTAAAACTCTTGATTTTATTTATTTAGGAAGGGTACATGGTAAGAAATTAAGGATGAGTTATAATTTGTTAGGTCTTGGGGATTAAATACTTTAGCATTTGAGCTAAAAGTAACAGAAAGTGAAGAGAAATTTCACTAGACGGCTAAAACTCTTGATTTTATTTATTTAGGAAGGGTGCATGGTAAGAAATTAAGGATGAGTTATTATTTGTTCGGTCTGGCGGATTAAATACTTCATTTGAGCAAAAAGTAAACGAAAGTTGTGTAAATAAAATTTACACAATTTAGGGTTGAGTTGCTATTTAGTATTACGGTTTAATAATATTTATTTTCATTTAATTGTAAGTGAGAGATATTATGTTTGATTCTCGTCAAAGGTGAATTTAAATCACACTATTGCTAGCCCATTAAGAGGCTTAGCTCACCTCCCCCCACCTGTTAATGTAAATAATATCGTTTATTAAAAAAAAAATTAGGGTTGAGTTTCTTCTCACTTACAGGTATGTATGTCACCAGATGCTCCATTCCTATATTCTTCCAATTTCAGTCTTTGATAAAAGAATCATTTTGTATTATTATTGGCTTATTTCTTTCTTTTAGGATTTCTAACAAAATCCCACTGCAGGAAGAGAGTGTACTCAAAGCATGCAAACTACAGACTTCCTCTCCTCCCAGACCTCCTAAAAATTGCATTAAGTTTTTGGTTCATCTGCTTTTAAGTGATGGATATATAAGTGCTTATTCGGCTTTTCTTCCATCCACTCATTTAAACTGCAATTTGAACTCACTAATTTACGGTTTTTATGTAGTCATCCACAAATCAAGAACAACGAGGACGAGGGAGAAATGGGAAGAGTGATTGACAAAGAGTCTTCTTTTTTGTTTTTCCGTTGTCCTATTGCTAATTAAGGATCCTAGCTATCATTTAATCTAGTTGTTTTAGAAACAGATTGAAGGAATTAAAATGTCCGCATTTGGTGTAGGTGATCTTGATTTAGCAAATTAGTAACAATATTTAGAAGGAAATTGTACGCCCCGTTATAACTTGGACTGACTCATCCTATAAGAATTGCTTCATAAATTATCATATGTAGATTCAAATATACCTCTTTGCAAATTATGTTTCTTTACAATTTGTAAAATTGAAATCCCCTAGAAACCGTAAATTAATGAAGCATTCAAACAAATTAGTAAGAGACACGTCCTATACAATTTAACGTTAAAATTATTTTTATTTACTCATTTCTCGAGCATGAGTAAAAAATCTATATAGGCATGTAACGTCGGTAATTGAAAAAATAGTTATTATAATCCAAGAATCATATTATTATTTATCTTGGACTCTGAATATTATTGTTTCTTATTCAATTACTTTTTGTAGGGTTTTCATTTTTATATATTTTTACTTTCGGTCACTACTTTAGAAAGCACATGACTCAAAAAGGTATTTTGCACGTTTCGTCGTTCTTTTGAAGAAATATTTTGCTTTCAATAGTATTTAAGTTGCCACTACAGAAAGTGCAAAATGACCAAAAAGAGGCGGCTGCCGCAATACAAAAGTTATACGTTTTGTTAACTTCGTATCCACACATTGTTGTTTCAAAAGGAGAAAAAAGTTACAACCCTAATCAAGCTTAATTACAATCCTAAAACGGTTTTGATAGATAATCCTTTATGAGTTTATATACAATTGAAGTATTTGGAGATATTATGGTTGCTTAATCATCAATTTTCATAGATTCCCTAACGCAAACCATATAATTGACATAACTTTTGCTAAGACAAACTTCAAAACGATATTTTTTTTTTTTAACAAAGGATAGATATTTTACACAGTTGTAACCAGTGTGATTTAAGTCCAGGTTTGATAAAACGGCAATAACAGTGTTCAAGAATATATGCATATAAGCTTTTGTTCATCGTCAAAATTAATATTTGAAGAGAACACAGTCAATCTTAGAACCCTTCATACAATTTCAGCCCGTCCTACTTTTCTTGTTGTATACTTCACAACTTTATTTTCTGGTTTGTTTTTTGTGTGATGGCACTGATGTGTGAGTGGGGATCCATGTACTGTATCACTGTAGTGTAGCTAGCTTGTTAAAAATATGAAGGATTATGTTGTGGCGTCAAATTCTCCCATGTGAAGGCATGCAGGCAAAGGCGGTGACTTGTGATCGTGTGAACTAAAAACTAAAGAAAAGGATGGCTTTTAGGGTTTTTACTTTGCTTGCACATACAGATACAGTCGCCAATAAGAAGCTTCGCGGAAAGAGCAAGTGAGCAGTTAGAGCTCTTATCATCAACTTATCAATCAAGAAATGCATTATATATTAGAGCATCTTTCCTCGATGGTTTTTGGGCAAAATATATATGCTTATTTTTAATTAGGTATAACACCTCTACTCGTTATCAAGTCTCTCACTTTACTCTCTACATTTTATATTATCTCAACTTATTATTTGTACTCTTCCTTCGCATCCTCCCTTTACCCCCTATATTCTATATTGTCTTACTTTAACACTTACACTATTTCTCAATGTCCCACTTTATCCTATTGCGCCAAATAAGTTAAGAAAGTCATTAATTGTTTTGACATACATGACATGTTCGTGGAACTCATGGGTAATAGGAGGTAGGTTAAACACAAATTAGGATTTGATTTCTCCATACTAAGAGAAAAATATAAGAAGAGAAGGTTGAAATATAAAAAGAGAATGTTGAATTTCAAGATTCGCAAATCAATTTCAATGTTTTTAGATCCCTTCGCGAAGATTCTTAGGGTTCTGTCACGAGAATCTCTACCTATATCACTTTCTTTTTCTTTATTTTTCTTAATCTGAAAAATCAAACTCTAGTTTGAGCACGTCTTACTAACAAAGTTAAAAAGATTAAATTGTCCATGCGACATTAGCACAATTAACATCTCTTTTTAAATTATTTGACAACGTAG